CCGACCAAATGCGAATTTTGCAGCGCAGTAGGGCATCAGATTTTGTCGTGCTACAAAATGAAGAAAGTACGTGCGATCATGCAGGGCGGTAACAGTGCAGCACCCCCGAAGTAAAAAAACGGGAATCGCCAGTAGCCGCGGATCGAACTGGCGATCGCGTAAAGATCCGAAAAGCAAAAAAGGGCGACGACGTGGCGACTTCGGAGCGGGCGAAAAAAGGAGAAAATGATGGCGCGAATATAAAACGTCACGACCGGCCGGCATCAGGGGAAATCGCCGAGGCGACTGGTGGCTCCGCGAAAAAAGACTCTGCACCGACCGGGAAACTCCAGCCGGACCCCCACGAAAGTAAGAATTCGTTAAAAGTATCCTATAAAGATACTCTAAAAAAAAATATTGCTTCTCGTGGTTTTCAAGCCTTTGAAAAATTCAGGGGAGAGTTAGAGGCCAAGAAAAAGCCCTTAGAAATTATTCAGGTACTTGCAAAGTTTGGCAAAATATTACGGAGCGTAGAAAAGGGTCGTGCGTTCCGTGGTGTTAATATTCTCTCCCCGCAGCATAGTGTTAAGGCTCCCCGTTGCCCACAGGTGAAGCCTACACAGCTGCAAAGGCTTAGAGGAGACATCCAGGCTCAGGAGAAATTATACAAGCCTCAGAAAAATCCTCCTACCCCCCAGGTGAAGTTGGAAAGTGCTGAGTCGGGTATAGGAAGTAGGGAAGGTATTCATTTTGATGTACCCTATGATCCTATTAATGAGACCCTCTTTGGCTACTCAGCGCAGCAGAAACCACTACTCCTCGAGGTGTTATGCAATGGGCGACGCCTCCAGGCACTGGTGGACAGCGGTGCATCTCACTCAGTATGTGACCGCGGAGCATTGGAGAAAATCGGAGAGAAGGCGGAGGAGACCCAGTTTTCAGCAACCATGGTGGACGGTACGAAGCTTCCCATCCACGGCGAAGCAACCTTGCAGCTGCATATAGGTGCGTTGAGATGGAAATCGAAGCTACCTGTTACCAACATCAAAGGGTTAGATTTTATCTTGGGGCGAGATTTCCTGAAGCGGTTCAACCCCGAGATGGACTGGGTCAACAGTAAAGTGTGCATCTACAACAACGGGAAGCGGATAGCACTGCGAAGCTGGACGGATACAGGGGACATACCGGAAACGACACTGGCACGGTTCGAACAGACGGTGAACGAGAGTAACACGGGTTACTTAGCACTGGTCATGGCAGCAGCAGAAGAGGTGAAAAAGGGTTCCGAGCTACCCGCAGCAGTGAAAAAGGTCTTGGAGCAGTACAAAGACATCATGCCCGACAACCTACCTGCAGGCATACCTCTTGCGCGCACCCACGAGCATGAGATCGTGGAGGAACCAGGTGCGAAACCCGTCTCACGTGCACCATACCGACTGAGTCCGACCGAACTGACAGACATGAAAAAACAGATCGAGTATCTACTGGACAGACAACTGATCCGACCATCCACCTCTCCCTACGGCGCACCAGTTCTCTTCACACCGAAACCAGACGGCAGTTTACGGATGTGCATCGACTACCGCGCACTGAACAAACAGACAGTAAAAAACAAATACCCCATACCGCGCATCGACGACTTACTGGACCAACTGCGTGGTGCAACAGTCTTCTCGAAGCTGGACTTACGGTCGGGTTACTGGCAGATCAAGATGGCGGACAACTCAATCCACAAGACGTCGTTCCGTATGTGATACGGCTCCTACGAATACTTAGTGATGCCGTTCGGACTCTGCAACGCACCAGCGACGTTCCAGGCGGAGATGAACCACATCCTACGGCCCCTGCTGGACGAGTGCGTAGTAGTGTACCTGGACGACATTCTCATCTACTCCAAGAACATGAAGGAGCATGTGGAGCATCTGCGGAAAGTGTTCGAGATCCTGCGGAAGAATAAGTTCTACGTGAAGCTGTCGAAGAGCGACTTCGCACTGAAGAAGGTGCAATTTCTCGGGCACATGGAAAGTGCCGAGGGCGTACACGTAGACCCGCGGAAAATCGAAGCCGTTAAGAAGTGGAAAGTTCCAGAGAACGTGAAGGAGTTGCAGCAGTTCCTCGGCTTTGCCAACTACTACAACAGGTTTGTGCCGCAGTACGCTAAGATAGCAGCGCCACTGACAGACCTACTAAAAAAGGACACGCCCTTCAAATGGGATACTCCTCATCAGCAAGCCATGGAACAGCTACAGACAGCACTGACCACAGCGCCAGTACTCATCCTACCGGACCCCGAGAAGGACTACGTAGTTGAAGCAGACGCTAGTGACCAGGCAGTCGGAGCAGTACTGATGCAGGATCACGGGAACGGTTTACAGCCTATCGCCTACCTCAGTAAGAAACTGCACGGAGCAGAACTGAACTACCCCATACACGACAAGGAAGCCTTAGCCATAGTCATAGCCTTCAAGGCGTGGAGGTGTTACCTAGAGGGAGCCAAGACCACAGTCTATACAGACCACTGCAGTCTCAAATACCTGAAGTCGCAGCCGACGCTCTCACGACGACAGGTGCGGTGGGTGGATTTCTTGGAGACCCACTTCCATTACGACATCGTCTACAAACCCGGGCTCCACAACAAAGCAGACGCGTTGAGCTGCCCAGGGCACGTAGCAGGCATCCAGCTCAACGGGATGAACCCTCTGCTCAAGGGTCTATTCCAACATGGGTACTCCGTGGACGGCGAGATAGCAACGGCAGAGAAACAGAAACTGTTACAGTGGGAGAAAGACTTAGCGGTAAGGAAGGGTTCAGGAAAAATTTGGGTACCGAATTACGCCCCGCTACGACAGATCCTATTGGAGGAGTTTCACGACGTACCATACGCGGGACATTTTGGGAGCAACAAGACGTTAGCAGGAATAGCAAAGTATTACTACTGGCCTCGGATGGCAGCAGACGTGCAGCAGTTCGTCACCTCCTGCGACACGTGCCAGCGGATGAAGAGTAGCAAGCAGAAGAAAGCAGGGTTACTTCAGCCTCTACCCGTACCGGAGCAGCCATGGCAGGTCGTTAGTCTCGACTTCATCACAGGACTTCCCTCGACCTCACGGGGACACGATTCCATCCTCGTAGTCATCGACAAGATCTCCAAAATGGGTCACTTCATACCGACCAACGCCACAGCTACAGCTGAAGCAACTGCTCGACTCTTCTTCGACCGCATCATCACCATCCACAGCATCCCCGCTACACTCATCTCAGACAGAGACCCCAAATTTACGGGTAAGTTCTGGAAGGAGCTTATGGGACTGTTGGGGACTAAGCTTGCGATGTCTTCAGCATACCATCCCCAGACTGACGGACAGACAGAGCGACTCAATCAGGTGGTTGAACAGTTACTGCGCACAGCTTGCAAAGACGACATCAGCCACTGGGACACACAGTTACCGACCTTAGAGTTCGCTTACAACAACGCCTCGCATGCGGCCACAGGAAAAACTCCTTTCTTCCTGTGTTACGGACGGGAACCACTCACCCCACAGCAACCAACTACACCAGCACACGTCCAAGCCGCACACGACTTCGTCACCACCATGCAGCAGCTATGGGAGAAGACTCAGCGGCGTCTCACCACGATGCAGAACTCCCTGAAGCAGTATGCCGACCGCTAGCGACGGGATCACTCAGTAGCAGTCGGAGATCAGGTGCTTCTTGACACGCACAACTTGAACCTGTCTCACCTACCATCCAAACTCCGGCCTCGCTTCTGTGGTCCATTTCTCGTGGAGGCACAGGTGACACCAGTTACATTCCGCTTGCGCTTACCAGATACATGGAAGCTTCACAATGCTTTCCATGTTCAGCTACTGAAGCCCTACAAGGACCCCAACCAACAGTTCCAGGGACGGCAGCTACCGCCACCACCACCTGTACTTGTGCAGGATGAACCAGAGTACGAGATCGAGCGCGTTCTCACTCATCGGCGCCGCGGCAGCAAGACCCTCGAGTTCCTGATCCGCTGGAAGGGATACGACCCCACTGAGGACAGTTGGGTTGCAGAAGCTTGTAGAAGCTGATATGGGCAACGCACGCCATGCTCTCAAGGACTATCTTGTCAAGCAGGGTGTATCTCACGCCACCCAGCTTTGAGGGGGGGACGTGTGAGAGTACGACGGCTTATGCTTGTTATTCATGCTTGCTTTTATTTCCTTACGCTACTTCTAGCTTAGGATTAATTTCTGCATGCATGAATTGCTTGATTCCTAGGCTAGGTGCTTTCCTATATTTTATTATAGTTATAAGCACCGTGCTAGGTTACACCGAATTCGGAGCTATTCGGTTGCCACCGAACTGCTTTTTATCGAATTCGGGAAGGGTCTGTTCGGGACGCTTCGCGACCCGCAGAACCTTCTCGTAACACCTGGTTACTGGCCCTTGTGTCGAGCCTATATATAGCCTCGTGTTGTACCCAGGTGATCATTCAATTTACATTCTCATTTCTGAACTCGATCCTCGATCCTCACACTCGCGGCCCCTCCACGGCCCTTCGTGGCCCCTTCGCCGCCCTTAGCGCCCCCCCCCCTTCTCGGCTCCTCCGCGAACAGCAGCAGCCGCCGACTGCAGCACCCGTCGCCGCCGCCGACAGCAGGAGCCGCTGCCGCCGGTGTAGTGACAGCAGCAGCCTCCGCTGCCACTGACAGCAGCAGCCGCCGCCGCAGCTGCCGGAGTCGCGGCCGCCGTCATCACCACTTGGAGCAGCCGCTGCCGGCGCCGCTGCCATGACAGCTGCCCCCGCTGCTACTGAGGCCGCCGCAGCCGCAGCCAACAGCAGGAGCAGCTCCAGCTGTCGCGGCCCTGTCCCTGCCGGCGCGCCTCGGCCCTGCCCCGCCACTTACGGCACTCTACCCACCCGTCCTGGTAAGAGCACCGCGAAGCCACGCCTCTGCGACTGCACTGCTCCTAGCCTGCTGCTGCTGCCCCTACCCTGCTGCTACTGCCCCTAGCCTGCTGCCACTGCTGTCATGGCTACCCCTAGCGTCCTTGTCTTTGATGCTGAGGGTCGGGCTGTTGACTTTGAGGTATGGGTCGATGATCGGCTGCTTTTCCTACAGTGCGATAGGAAAGACGGTCTCTCACTGTTCGATCTCACGTCTGGCGCCTCTACTGCCGCTGCTACTGATGCTGACAGCACTGTTCGCTCACAGTGGGCCACACGCGATGCTGCTGCCCGTCTTGCTGTGCGTAGTCACCTGCCGTCCACTGAGCGCGCGCACTTTAGTCAGTACAAGAGTGCTAAGACCTTGTAAGACGCTGTAATTTCACGCTACTCTTCCCCTGCCACTGCTGCCCTTAGCCGCCTCGCCGCCTTTCCCACAGTCGCTGACCTCATTACACACCTTCGCACTAGTGACGCCTGCTACCGCGCTGCTCTTCCTGCTGAGTTCTGTGCCAAGACCCCCCCCCCCCATGTACATCACCCTCTAATACCTAGTCACTCGGCTTCCTAACTCCCTTCGCCCGGTCAGGGACCACTTCCTCTCTGTTTGCCCCACCACCCTCACCGTTGACCTCCTCGAGGAGCGCCTCCTTGCAGCTGAGAAGAGCATAGTCGCTGTAGGAGCCTCTCGTGGTGACCCGCGTTCCCCCTTCTTTGAGGGGTGCTCCCCCTCTCCCCTTTTGCCCTCTGTTGCCTCTGCTGCTACCGTCGACTTCGTTGGCACTGAGTCGGTCGGCGCTGCGTCTGCCCCTAGCGGGAGGCGCCGCACCGGCAAGGGCAAGGGGGGCAAGGGTGCTGGAGGAGCTGGCGGGGGCGGTGGAGGTGGCGGTGGAGGAGGCGGAGGGAGTGGGGGTGGCGGTGGGAGTGGTGGCGGGGGTGGGGGCTTCGGTGGCGGCGGCGGTGGCGGTGGGAGCGGAGGAGGAGGAGGTAGCGGCGGCGGTGGAGGTGGCGGCGGCAGTGGTGGAGCGGTTCGGGGTGGCTCTGCGCAGCGGGGTGGCTTTGGTGGTGGTTAGTGTCAGCAGCAGCAGCGCACTCGTGAGACCCCGCCCCCCCAGCAGCTTTGTGAGTGGTACGCTGCGCGTCAGCGGGGTGGGGGTGCTGGTCCTTGTGCCTACGTCCTGCGTACCGGGAACCGCACTGGTGAGCCGTGCGGTGGTTCGCACACCACCCAGCGCTGCTTCGGCCGCCTGACGGATGCTTGGCGTCTCCAGTTCCCTGACGCCACTGAGATCCCTCGCTGGGGCGAGCTGCTTAGGTCGGGGGTTGCTATCTTTGATCTGGATCATGATGCTATTCTTGCTGCCATGTATGTTGTCTCTACTAGTGATGAGGGTGACTGTTACCTGTGTGTTCCGCCTGACCCGGGCATTGAGGCTGCTGCTCTAGGTGCTGGTGAGGCTGCTGCTCTAGGTGCTAGTGAGTCTGCTGCCCCAGGTGCTGGTGAGTCTGCTCTCTCAGGTACCACGTCTGCTCAGGCGTTGCACACTTTCACCCTTGACTCGGGTGCTTCCCGCTCCTTCTTTCGAGACCGCACCACACTCACGCCGCTTAGTCGGCCGGTTGCAGTCTCCCTGGCAGACCCCTCTGGGGGCCCTGTCCTTGCCCGCTTCTCCACTGTCCTACCGTGTCCGGCGGCCCCTTCTGGCACCCTGTCTGGTCTTTACCTCCCCTCGTTCTCTACAAACTTGGTGAGTGGTGCTGACCTACAGGATGGGGGGGTTGACCAGTTCACTCCTGCGAGTCAGTGAGTGACCCACTGCACGTGTGCTCGGACGGGCCGACACTTGGCCACGTTTACCCGTCAGCCGGGGTCGAGCCTGTACACACTGACTACTGAGTCTCCTCCGGTTGCTACATCTGGTCAGGTGACTGCGTCGGGTAAGGTGTTTGCTGCTGTGTCCAGGTCTGGTCCTGAGTCTACCCCCCGCTCGTGTCGTCTCCTGTCTCACCAGACTGTCCTCTAGCACCACCGCCTTGGTCACCCCTCCCTGCCTCGTCTCCGAGGCATGGCCTCCCGTTACCTTGTCTCTGGTCTCCCCCGGTCCCTCCCTCCCCTTCCTCCGGGGCCTGCCCCCACCTGCGTTCCCTGCGTCGAGGGGCGGCAGCGCGCTTCTCCTCACTCCTATGAGTTTCCGCCGACAGAGGCTCCGCTGCAGATTCTTCACATGGGCGTGTGGGGCCCAGCCCGTGTCTGTGGACATGGTCAAGAGCGTTACTTCCTGTTGGTGGTTGACGACTACTCGCGTTACACCACAGTCTTCCCCTTGCGCAGCAAGGGTGAGGTCACTGAGGTGTTGATCGACTGGATCCGCGCTGCTTGTCTCCAGATCAGGAGGAAGAGTTTTGGCTCGGACTTTCCTGTTCTGCGTCTGCACTCCGACAGAGGTGGAGAGTTTTCCTCCGACCTTCTGCGAGCCTTCTGTCGTGCGAGGGGCATCCGCCAGACGTTCACGCTTCCGGCCTCTCCACAGCAAAATGGGATTGCTGAGCGCCGCATTGGCATGGTCATGGACGTCGCTCGTACGTCCATGATCCATGCGGCTGCTCCCCATTTTCTGTGGCCGTTTGCAGTTCAGTACGCGGTGCAGCAGATCAACCTTCAGCCCCGGGTCTCCTTGCCGGAGACCTCCCCCACCCTTCGGTGGACGGGGAAGGTTGGCGATGCGTCTGCGTTCCGTGTCTGGGGATCTCGGGCTTTTGTCCGAGACTTGTCTGCGGACAAGCTGTCCTCCCGTGCTGTTCCCTGCGTCTTCCTTGGCTTCCCCCCTGACGCGCCTGGTTGGCAGTTTTACCACCCCACCTCGCGCCGTGTTCTGTCCTCCCAGGACGTCACGTTTGACGAGTCGGTTCCGTACTACCGTCTCTTCCCCTACCGCGCTGCCCCCCTTCCCCCCCCCTACCGCTCTTCCTCGTGCCAGGTCACCCCTCGGTAGACCCCCTCCCCCCTCAGGGTCCTGCCACCTCAGGTGTGTCTCAGGTAGACGCAGTCGAGCCTGTCGAGGTAGCTGTTGACTCTGGTGCTGCTCGGGGTGCTGCGCCTGCGGGTGCCGGGGCTGGGGGTGCTGAGCCTGAGCGTGCAGAGACTGGGGCTGCTGGGACTGGGGGTGCTGCGTCTGAGGGTGCTGAGCCTGGGGGTGCTGAGTCTGGGGGTGCGGAGCCTCGGGGTGCGGAGCCTGGAGGTCCTTCGGGTGCTTCGCGTCGGCGAGAGCTACCCTCTCTACAGGAGCTGCGCAAGTGGTTTGCTCAGCGTTGGAGTCGTGCTGCTGGAGATGGTGTTGCTGCTGGTGCTGCTGGAGGTGCTACTGGAGTCGGAGCTGCCGCTGGGGGTGCTGGTGCTGTCCCCGCTGGTTCTGGAGGTGCTGCGCGGCCTCGGCCGTACTTCGTTCCGCTCCTTGAGCAGGTTCTTGGCTTTCCGCCTTCTTCTGGTCCTTCTCCTGCCTTAGAGTGTCCACAGCCCGCCTCGTCCGCGTCACAGTTACAGCTCGCCTGTCCACTGCCTTCCTTCTCCTTCTCCCTACACTGGTCCTACTGGAGGTCTTGCTGAGCGTCGTGAGCCTGAGTTGCGTCCAGCGTCGCCTGTTCGTGCTGCTCGCACTGGTCGCCGTGTTCCGCGTCTGTGTCCTCCTGCGGTCCCAGGCACGCACCAGATGGCACTGCGTCCTTCCACTGCTCCTCTGCGAGTCCCCTTGCCGTCTCCTCCTGCGTCCTCTCTTCCTGCTCTTGCTGACCCGGAGTCTGACTCTCTTCGTGCTGCCAGTCCTACTGTCACGCGTCTCCTAGCTACTGTTGTCACTGACCCTTCCTTTGAGTCCACTGCTGCGTCTTCCTTAGTTGCTAAGCTGGTCGACTTCGCTGCTGCCTGTCGTCTAGACTACGCTGCTAGTCTTGTTGCTGAGTCTGAGTCTGTCTGTCCTCCGTCCGTCGAGGGTGAGTGTGCTCTTGGCACGGACGTCCTTGAGGACAGGCAGGAGGAGTTTCAGTGCTTTGCTGCTGCTTTACCTCATCTCGTGTCCATGCTGCTTGCCCCTGAGGGAGACCCGGATGCACCAGACATCCCGACTCCGCGTTCTTACGCGGAGGCGATAGAGGGTCCCTACTCCTCTCAGTGGCAGGCAGCCATGGACGCAGAGATGGCTTCCTGGAAGTCCACAGGCACCTACGTCGACGAGGTTCCCCCACCTGGGGCGAACATCGTCAGTGGCATGTGGATCTACAGGGTGAAGCGGCCGCCGGGTTCTCCGCCTGTCTTCAAGGCGCGTTACGTGGCTCGAGGCTTCAGTCAGCGGCAGGGAGTTGACTTCTTCCAAACCTTCTCCCCTACCCCGAAGATGACCACTCTTCGGGTGCTGCTACACATAGCCGCTCACCGTGACTACGAGCTGCACTCTCTTGACTTCAGCACTGCTTTCCTACAAGGCAGCCTGCACGAGGAGATCTGGCTGCGCCGCCCTCCTGGCTTCACTGGGTCATTTCCTCCTGGTACCCAGTGGAGCCTCCGGCGGCCAGTCTACGGTCTCCGCCAGGCGCCCCGCGAGTGGCACGACACACTGAGGACTACACTTGCGGCTCTTGGGTTTGCTCCTGGGAGACACAGACCAGAGCACATGGCTGCAGCAAAGAGGGTGTTGCGCTACTTGTGCAGTACGTCGGGCATGGGGCTTGTGCTTGGAGGGCAGAGTCCAGTGGTCCTCACTGGTCACGCAGACGCTTCTTGGGTTGACGACCTGGCTATGCAGCGGTCGTCACAGGGTTACACCTTCAGCCTTGGTTCCGGCTCTGTTTTGTGGAGGTCTACCCGCTCGTCTTCTGTTCTCGGCTCCAGCTGTGAGGCTGAGATCTACGCAGGGGCCATGGCTGCACAGGAGTTACGCTGGCTCACCTACCTGCTGACCGACCTGGGAGAGCCGCCTCGTTCTCCTCCAGTTCTGTACGTAGACAACAAGGCGAGAGCACAGACTGGAGCACAGAACGAAGCACATTGCTCTTCGCTACTTCCTTGCTCGTGAGCTGCAGCAGCGTGGTCAGCTGCGCCTTGCTTACGTGGCCTCTCAGGCCAACACTGCTGATATCTTTACCAAGGCACTTCAGCCTTGTGATCATCAGCGCTTTTGTACGATGTTAGGTCTTGTGCCTACTTGGCCTCACTTGCTTACTTCTTTACCTTGTTTGTACTGCGATCTATATATACCTGCTCTTGCTTGTTTGCCTTTATATATAATCCTGCATGTGAACTGGCCTTGTGGCCTTGAACTTGTGCTCAGAGTGTGTGGTGACGTTGTGATCCACCCTGAGCTTGCTTTGCTTTGCTTGACTGGTCTTGTGACCCCTAGTTCTCCACCACTTTGCCTATGGGGGTGTGTCAGACTTATATTACTTAGTCATTGTAGGCTACAGTGGGGTAGACACTAAGGGGTACAACTCTCTAGGGTTTCATATTTGTATCCATCTCATTTCTAGTTCATTCATTCCTTGTTCTTTCACACAAGCACCCCTAGGAACACCCTCACCCCCCATTGCAAGCTACACACACCACCCCACCTTCCGCTCTGCACGCACGCGCACATGACACGATAGCACTCCACACTTCCCGTCCGCCCATGTCACAAATCTTCCCTCTCATTTCTTCACCGCTCTCACTCTCACCAGTGCCTCCCACCCACACGCACCCCTGAGGCATAGCCACTGCCTGCACACACTGCTGGCCACGCCCCTGGCAGGTGGGCTGAGAGTACCCACAAGCACTCACATGCGCTAGAGCAGCTCCAAGTTAAAGAGGCTTGCAGGCAGCGACCCCACCAGATGAATCGACGTGATGGCTCTACTTCATTGGGGTGAAGGGGGGTAGAGAGGACTTGGGGGAGAGGAGGTGCGGGGGTAACATAAACTGCAGAGGTAGAGAAGTTAGGAAGGAGGGAGAGGAGGGAGGGGAAGGACGACGGAGGGAGGGGAAGGAAGAGAGAGGGAGGGGGAATGGTGAAACTGTGATGGATCATTGGCAGGAGTGTGCGAGCAAGGCAGGTGAGTTATATTCTCAGGGCTACAAATGGGTGAAGACTCAAGAGACTCACAGGTATACAAGGTGCTTGTTATAGTCACAATAGGCTTCAATGTGCCTAGAACGAAAGATAGAGTGCACAGTCGGATTTCTGCACAGCGGCTTTGAACGTTCATAGCGATATGGTCACACCTCCAAATGACATGCTACAAATTGGATCTGGAGCGTCTTGACGTCCTCTACAACGGGTAATTTTGGTCGCACGAGTTCATTAAGAATTGACGACACATCGTCCAATTGGACGAACGGCACTACGGCAGCAACATAGTATTAGAACACAAAATTAGGAAGGGTTGGGAAGAGTTACGAGTTGGGAATGACTCCCAGCTCCTACAAACCCCAAAAGCTAAGGTACACACTGTCCCCAACCAGGAAGGATCTCGATACAAAATGGCCGCGTAACAGTGATGGGGAACTGTGCCACACTACACATCGTAATGTAACACGTGTGGCACTTCAACACAAAATGGTCGCGTAACACGCGACTAGCGATAACTCGCTATTGACTTGACACACACACACTCGACATCATGACCCATCATGCACACACAATATAAGCATGAAATATATATTTATTTCATGCACTCATACCATTCCATGCACACACGCATGCACGCACACGGACAACAAGCCGAGTGCAAACCGTAGGGTTGCACTAACAAAATCCCCCTCGGATTGTTGGCCTTAGGATCTTGCGCTCTTAGTTCAGAGCCATCCCAGCCAGCTTGTAGCACTTCGAATGCTGCTGCTCCACCAGCCTCTTGGTCATCATGTCTTCACGTAGCGCAACTCGACTTCACCCGCGGCCACCATGCTCCTCGTCCAGTGCCATTTCACCCTCATGTGTTTTGTGAGGCCGTGCAACACCGGGATCTTAGCTAGAGCAATGGCACCCTGGCTGTCACAGTAGAGTGGGGTAGGTCCTTGCTGCTCCTCCCCCAATTCAGCCAACAAACGCCGCTGCCACACAATCTCCCGCACGGCACGGAAGAGTGCGATGTACTCAGACTCTATCGAGATCAAAGCTTGGTCCACCTGCTTCTTGCTTTCCCAAGCAGTTGGGCCTCCACCAATACATCATATGAAGCCTCCCACACATTTCATGTCCTCTGGTTCCGATGCATAAGAAGCATCCGCGCCCTTTTGGCGCCTTTGTGCCGCCGCCGAGTATTGCAGCCCAACGGTCGGTGTTTGGCCAAGATACTTGGCCACCCTCATTCCAGCTGCTACCTGCTCCTCATTAGGGCATTGAACAACCTTAGCCAGCTGCTCCGTAGCAAACGCGACATCCGGTCGTATGTTGATCGCCGCATACATGAGGCTGCCCACCAACGAGTGAAATTGTCGCCTCTCCTCCTCGCCAACATTCTCCTCCTCTGGTCCCTTCACACACTTGAACCCAGAGGGGAATGGAGTAGCCACATGGCCTTCACTCTGCCCAAAGTTTGCAGGTACTTTCGTTGGTGCACCCGCATACACCACTTCTCCACGTCATGCTCGATGTGAAGCCCGAGGTAGAAATTCACGTCACCAAAGGCCTTGCACTTGAACTTGTCCTGAAGCTTCAGCATCACCTCCTTCACAAGGTCAGAGGAGGGTGAGAAAACAAGGATCGCGTCGACGTAGTCCACGATGAAGCTCCTCTGCTCCCCCTCGCCAAGCATGAACAAGGAATGATCGGCCGTTGAGGGAGTGAAGCCGATCTCCTCCAACACTTCACGCAGCTTCAGGTACCACTGCCTAGGGGCCTGCTTCAGCCCATAAAGAGCCTTCTTCAGCTTCCACACTCTGCCACTACCATCATCAAACCCCTCTGGTTGCGCCATTAAAATCTCTCTCTCAAGGATCCCGCTCAGGAACGCCGTTGTGATGTCCATCTGCTTCACCACCCATCCTTTGATCGCGGCTCCCGCGAGTAGGGTCTGTAGCGTTGTCGGCTTCACCACAGGAGCAAACAGCTCCTTGAAGTCCACCTTCTCCTTCTGCTGGTACCTCTTGGCTACAAGTCTAGACTTGTAGCGGTTGATCTTGCCGTCGGCGTCCGACTTAATCTTGAAGAGCCAATTGGACGTAATCGCCTTACGCCTCTCCGATAGCTCCACCAATTCGAACGTGTCGTTCTCCTCAATGCTCTTCAGCTCACTCTCCATGGCCTTCTTCCACTCCTCAGCATCACTACTCTCCAAGGCCTCCTTGAGAGTTGCTGGTTCTCCCGGCATCTCCACCGGAGAGAAGAACGCGAAGGCACACTCCTCGTAGTCGCTTTCCTCGTCATCTCCAACCATCATTGCCGCTCCGACCAAGGCTGACTTGCCCGGCTTTCTTGGCGCATCATAGGTCAGCCTATTAGGGGCTTGGACTCTCATCTTGCCCCTTCCTTCCTCCTTAGCTGCAGGGACTTGAAGACCTTGGCGCTGCTGCGGGGTGGCTCGGATCTGTGGAGCGCTCGTAGTGCGGGAAGGAAGTGTCGGTGCACGCTCGCTCACTTGCTGCACCTCCTCCTCTTCTTTCGCTGCATCCTTAGCCTCCTCTCCCACATTAATAAGAGAAGATTGCCTTGTGGTGGTGCTGCCACTGCTCAGCTCCAAAGGCAGCTCCACATGCTCCAAACCGGAACTCTTCACCTCTCCAAACCGCACGCCTATTTTCGCCTCATTCTCCGCCTTCCAATCCTTGTACATCAGGTTCTCCATGAACTTGCGGTCTTTTCTCACCAAGAACTTCTTGGTGAATGGGTCCCAAAGAAGCCATCCCTTGCTGTTTTGAGCCATGCCCAAGTGCACGGCCCATATCGCCTTGGCACCAAGCTTGTTGTGCCGAAGATGCTTAGGTACGAGCGCCATGCACATGCACCCGAACACCCGAAGCATATCCACCTTTGGCTTCCTTCCAAGCCACTCCACATAGCGCACCCATTTAACTGCTCCCACATCAATGCTCCCACATCAGTCAAGGCTCTGTTCTTGAAACACACGCACTCCGTACAACATCAGGCCAGAAATAGTCGGGTAGCCCGGCTTCAATGAGCAACCCGCGTGCCGTCTCCGTGATTGTACAGTTCGCTCGCTCGGCGATGCCGTTCATTGCAGGGGAGTATGGCATGGTAAGGGAGTGCCTTATGCCATTCTTCTTCAGCCACAATCCAAACTCCTTGCTCAGGAACTCTCCCCCTCGATCGGTGCGGATCGACTTCACGAGTCGGTCTTGTTGCCGCTCGACCATCGGGAACCAATCTGTCTTCAACGTTTCAAGTTGAAAGTACTCAGCTCCAGCAGCTCAAAGTTTCAAAGGGCCCACCACGTCCATCACCACCTCGTCAAGTGGTGCCTTAGCCGTTGCCTCCGAACTAGATAAGGGGAAACGGGTGAACTTGGCTTGCATGCATGTCGGGCAGCCAAGCACCTCATTGGTCTCCCCCTTCACACGTATGCCAGCAACCATCTCATTCTTCACTAGCTGCTGCAAAATAGGCAGGGCCACATGCCCCATTCGCCGATGCAAGGTGAGCCAATCACACTCCCTTCGAAAGACGATGGCGATTGTGATCGTCTGGATGTTGTTGAAAGGAAGTCTGCTGCTGCTGCTCCCCAAGAGTGACAGCACGTTCCCCCGCACAGATTTCCAGGTTTCATACATCATTACACTGCTGAACAGCAGTCATCTAGTTCTTTGTGGAAGAGTGGCGGCACGTAGTTCATCAGCTTATTGTTTTTTAACAGTGCATCAGGTTTTCGAGTGTACAACATGTCCATTCAGCATCGCGGAATTATTGGCACGAAGTTTTCTAGCCTTGTGCAACAACGGACTCACCTGACACTGATCAATACAATAATCTCATGCATCTTGCGAGCATAAGCTTAACAACTTCGCATGAACTTCCACAACCATCGCACAAGCATACAGTATTCGCAACCACAATACAATACTCTCCCTGAGCCAAGTCCAGAAAGAGCATAAGATATTTGGCCAATGCATGGCAGAGGTCTGAGTGGAAGCAAAGCCATCTTCAGAGGTTGAAGGTGCAAAAGCCCTAGGAATGAGCAGAGGCTAGCTATGGCTGCTGAGGCGGAAAATGCAGGGGCACAAGGCATGGGGTAGGAGCAGAACAACGAAATCAGGAGCAGAATGACCGAAAACAGGAGTGGAACAACTGCTTAAAGGCCACAGACAGAATTACCTAGTCGGGTGGCAAACTGTCACCAGTTCCACGCGATTGGTTTTCGTTTTTTTCCACTGAACCTCGTCCTGGGGTTTTTCCAACCTACAACTTTCACGTTGACTTCGTTGTGTAATTCGGGCTTTGTGTTTTCCTCACAGAAACCCTATGCCAAGTTTGGACGAATTTGGATTGGGATTGTCTTCGCGTAAAAAAATCCAGACCCAATTTCGAGCGACGTTGGAGTCATTTGATAGGAGCTCCGACACACATCTTGCGACAAGGTTTGACTCGGATCAAGTTCCAATTTGGCACGCGAGCTTTTCCAGATGACATTCGGGCGCAACCCGTTTTGGTGCAATTTCGATACCAAATGATTTATAACTGGATTTTGGTTTTGTTTTATTTTTGGTATTGAGGATTTACGAATTACATTCAATATTCCAGTTTACAACAACCATTATTCAGCACTCTAACAACCAGCAGTTTTAGCACCAGGTCAAATAGCCTACGCAATCGCACGGTGGGCAAGAACAACATCTCCAAGGTCGCCATCGTCGATGAGGAACTTGTTCGGGAAGACGAACGCACCCTGAGCCGGATCGTGTGGGATCCGCCGCTCCACGACGGGCAAGTGTATCATCTGTTTGACCTTGTCACACCACTCGAAGTAGTCCGGCCTGTTTTGTTCCGGCTGGGCCTGAATTCACTTGCGACGCTTATCCTGCAGAAGGGGCCACTCGATCTGCAATGTGGTGTAGGGTTGGGTGGATGGAGTATGAGGGGGGGTTACGGGTAAATGAGCCAATTGAAAGCGAGTTTAGGGTTGCAGCACACCCTACATAACCGCAAACGCCTAAGCGACTAGGGAATTAGATGAAGTACAGCCAAGGGGTTTAGGGGATGAGGCACGGGTGTACAGACACATATCTACATCCTTACCGAAAACAGGCCCCATGCCACCATGCGGCTCTTGAACTTGGTGACCACGACACCGCCCCTCTTGAAGGAGAGCTTGAACGCATAAGCAAACAAGGGGTTGCTGAAGGGCGTTTTGGTCGTCTTTTCAAAGTGCCAGTTGAGGGCCCACTGCTCTGCATTTTGGCACGGAGGGTATGGGTTGGAAAGGGGTTGCAGAGAAATCAAGTGGGGGGTGAGAGTCAGGGTGCGGAACACCGCACGGTTATTTGTAGCTGCCAACTGGCATATGGGCAGGGGGATATGGTGTGTTTGAGTCGCACATACCATCTCTATACTCGGCCAGGAATTCCGCGTCGTTGAACCACTTCTTTGGGTGTAGCTCAGTGGGCAGGCTATCCACTCCAATGGCGTAATCGGAGAGACCCATGCCGGCGTACGTTGCTGGCCTGAGGGTGGTGTTGATTGTTGACCTGGTTGATGACATCTGGTGGTTGAAAACACCCATGGTTGACTTGTCGTTGTGCAACCACAGCAGCTTTATTCACTCGAGCCCTTCAGCAGACAAGTGGACAGCGAACGCCTCGAACACTTCCTTCGGTGCAGGGTAGAACTGGATTTTCTCCGGGGGGTTCAGAAACAGGAGCTGAGAGCACACTAAGTAGGCTTTCTTCTGCGCAGGGGTGTGGGGTATACAACACAACATGGGGAGAGAGAAACCATCAGTTATGACTGTGGCCGAGTGACCACAGGATGGACTATGTGAACTTTCCACATCACACCCTCCAGCATCCGCCACGTCCACCAAACAGCCCCACGAGCCACATCACACCCTCCTGCATCCGCCACGTCACACCCTCCTGCATCCGCCACGTCCACCAACAACCAACCCCACGTGCCACGTCACACCCTCCAACCCCATGCCACGTAATCCCCCACCCACCTGACACACGTCGCCTTGTCACGCGCCGCTCCCGTGTACCATTCCAAACCGCCACGTCTGCCCCAACCCTCACATTCCGCCACGTCACACCCTTTTGCATCCGCCAACAACCCGCCCTACTTGCCACGTCACACCCCCACCAAGAGCCACGTCACCCCCCACCCACCTGAAACGCCTCGCTGCATCATGCGCCGCTCACGTGTACCCTTTTAAACAGCCACATCACCCCCAGCACTCACTCTCCGCCACGTCACACCCACCTGCATTCGCCACGTCATCCCCAACCCTCACCTTCCGCCACGTCATACCCTCCTGCATCCGCCACGTCCACCAAACAGCCCCACGTGCCATGTCACACCCTCCTGCATCCGCCACGTCATACCCTCCTGCATCCGCCACGTCCACCAACAAACAGCCCCCCGTGCCATGTCACACCCCCACCAAGAGCCACGTCACCCCCCACCCACCTGAAACGCCTCACTGCATCATGCGCCGCACACGTGTACCCTTTTAAACAGCCACGTCATCCCCAACACTCACCTTCCGCCACGTCACACCCACCTGCATCCGCAACGTCATCCCCAACCCTCACCTTCCGCCACGTCATACCCTCCTGCATCCGCCACGTCCACCAAACAGCCCCACGTGCCACGTCACACCCTCTTGCATCCGCCAAGTCACACCCTCCTGCATCCGCCACGTCCACCAACAACCAGCCCCCTGTGCCACGTCACACCCACCCACCCCATGCCACGTCACCCCCCACCCACCTGACACACGTCGCCTTGTCACACGCCGCTCCCATGTACCATTCCAAACCGCCACGTCTGCCCCAACCCTCACATTCTGCCACGTCACACCCTTTTGCATCCGCCAACAACCCGCCCTACTTGCCACATCACACCCCCCACCAAGAGCCACGTCACCCCCCACCCACCTGAAACGCCTCGCCCCGTCATGCGGCACTCCCTTGCATCTTTTCACACCGCCACGTCACATCTCAACTCTCACCTTTTGCCACGTCACACCCACTTGCATCCGCCACGTGCACTAACAACCCGCGCCACTTGCCACGTCACACCCACCCACCCCATGCCACGTCACCCCCCACCCACCTGATACGCGTCGCCTCGTCACGCGCCGCTCAGATGGAGCCTTCCAAACCGCCACGTCAGCCCCAGCCCCGCCCTGGTTGCCACGTCAACCCCAACCCGCCCCATTTGGCCCGCCACATACCGGGAATGGGTTTGTCTCCTGCAACACTAGCACTCGTGCCTTGTCCACGGCACTCATCGGCGGCGGGGTACCAGCCATAGGCAGGGCTGCCGACCCGCCGGCATAGCTGGCAGGTACTCCACGACGCAGGCCGAGCTGTGCAAACATGGCGTACATCTCAGACCGCAGCGCCTGGAACTCCTCCCGTGTAACAAACTGCTCGTGCTCCGCACTTTCACCTAGGGCACCCATGAGCGGAGGAAAAGGGTGTGAAGAATCCCCCCTCTGGCCAAGGGGATCAAAATCTTTTGCAGCAGTCCCGTGTGCCCTCACACTATCACGCTGGCGGGATAAGGGGAGCTCAGGGAAGGGATTGGTATAAGTGCCTGCCTGATGCCCGCGCGATGGACCAGCGAGGGGGGAGACCGCCCTGCCCCGGACAGGAGAAGCGTGTAGAACCTTGGTGAGGCGAGTGGGGTTTGCGTGACGGGGGCTGGTGGAGGGGATTTGTATTCCTCTCCTCTTGGCGCGCCGGGTGCAGTCGCAGCGACTTTGCTCGGGCCGGAGTATGGCGTGTAGAACCTTGGTGATCCTGTGACTAGCGGTCTAACACTCGCTCTTCCAGCAGCCTTCGTTAGCTGCATCCTGTTGCACGCTTACGGGTTTCCCAATGCCTGTAACGCGAGGGGCTGAGATGTAGAGGGAGTAGGACAAAGAAATTAGAGTCAATCGGTTTCAATACAGGGCCAGACATGCATGCATAACATCAAAGGTTTGAATCTAAATCGGGTTTAGGGTTGTACTGGTTTGAGACAAGAGGGTTTAACTTGCTTGGTAGATTCGACGACCCTCTCCTTCCCTGCAGGGGAGAAACAATGTGAAAAAATGGTGTTATTTGGCACGGTTGACCAGATGGTTCAACAACCACGCCAGTTTTATTGGCCACAAAGCTCACCTTTCTGCCGTCCCTTCGGTTTTGGGGCACCCTGCGCCTTCTCGTTGCCACCTTTCCATGGGGTGCTTTGGCGGACGCTACGACGTTTACCGGCAGCTTCTTTCTTGCCGGTACCTACTGGAACCCCTTTGCTGCGGCCACCCTTTCCTCCTCCATCCCCTTTGCTCCTTGGCTCCCTTGCTTTTTACCACCCCCTTCACTTTTGACCTTCACATTACGCGCCTTCGGTTTGCCCGCTGCTTCGCCGCGCGCGGTGTCAACTGCCCTGCGTTTTCGGGAAGGGCGAGTCCGCCCCCCCACCTTCCCTGTACCACTCACACTTCTGCCACGCCCGCCCCGTCCCTTCACTGGCGCCACATCCTCATCCTCCTCCTCCTCCTCCTCCTCCTCCTCCTCCTCCTCCTCCTCCTCCTCCTCCTCCTCCTCCTCCTCTGCTGCCTCCTCCTCCTCCTCATCCTCCTCCTCGTCGTCACCCTCCTCCTCGTCTCACCCTCCTCCTCCTCCTCCTCCTCCTCCTCCTCCTCCTCCTCCTCTGCTGCCTCCTCCTCCTCCTCATCCTCCTCCTCGTCGTCACCCTGTTCCTCCTCCTCCTCCTCCTCCTCCTCCTCCTCTGCCTCCTGCTCCTCCTCCTCATCCTCCTCCTCCTCCTCCTCCTCCTCCTCCTCCTCCTCCTCCTCCTCCTCCTCCTCCTCATCCTCCTCCTCCTCTTCGTCCTCCCCGCCATCATTCTCATCTTTTTCATCCTCCCCAACATCCGCGTCATCCTCCTCCGCATCCTCTTCATCCTCCTCTTCCTCCGCATCCTCCTCCTCATCCCCCTCCTCCTCCGCATCACCAGGGTCTTCATCGCCCCGTTTCTGCCTCGTCCCCGTCGCTGCTTTCTTGCCTCTCCTTCCGCCGGATGTTTTTCTTGCTGCGGGTCGGCCCTTCTGGCGCAATGCTTGACCGCCTGCCTTGCCACTAGCTTCCTTGGCGCCTCCTGTTGTCCCAACTTCCACGCCTCCGGCGTCGTCAGCACTACTTGTCGTCTGCCGCCTCTTCGCCCGCATGGTGAGGTCCCCGAGCACGGCGGTGCCATAATCGTCCTCCCCATCGCTCCTCCTCTGCCTACGCCTCCCCCGTCCACCAGAAGAAGGAGAGCCACCGACCTGCCCCTCCGACTCGTGCTCCCTCACCTTGTCCTTATCCAGCACGGCTGCAGAAACTTCGACCACGGTCGGCTAGAGCAGCGTCAAATGGTGTTGCGATGCCGCTGCCTCGGACTCCTTGGTTGCGGCCTGCTTGGTTGGGGGGGGATCGCCTCCGTGGTTTCCCCCTGTCGCCGATCCCTCTATCTCCGCCGATGGGACTGCAAGACTCGCGCTCCCTCGCCCCGGATCTTCGTTGCCGCCAGTGGTGTCGTCGTTACTCGGACCGGGCTCGGTTCCAGCAGAGGCAACATCCGCTTCTTTGCGCACTGTAGAAACACGCTTGTGTGGCGTTGGTTTAGGCCCCTTGTCTTCCGCTTTCTTACCGGATTCCTCTTGACCACGCTCGACCTTTTTTGCCGCCGCTTTTTTCTGCCCAATGCCACGCGCAATAGACGCATTAGTTTTTTTAGCGCCGCCACCGCTCTCCCTATCTATTTGTTGGGACGTCCTCCTTGTCACGCGGCGGCTGGCCTGTTCCTCCACCATTGCTTGGTTACGTGTTGCACGTGTCATGGTTGTTGTAGAAAAGCAAATTTGCACATCGCGCGGAAGGGTTGTGCCTGTTTCGAAGGGGTACTGCAACTGAATCCCACGATGGGATTATCGATGGTCGATCACTGTTATCTGTATCCGAAAACCGCCGCTTCATTTAAAACTGAACTAGTAGCCACTAAGCAGAGAACTATGGCCACTCTGGAGAGGCGTGTGTCAAACAGCAAGCAGCGTTAAAGTGTTGGACCAGGGAGTGACGGAAGCAGGTGGGTGGGGCACGAGGGTGGTTGGGGTGGGTTGCGAGACTAAATAGATTACTGTAACCCTATCAGACTATATCCGACGGTGTACGTGTAGCCACCCTAGCATAAACCCACCTACCGCTCGATCTCAGCCGCTCTTCGGCTGAAGTACCTCTTGGCTGGTGATTGTGTTGCGGGGGGAATCGTTTGAGATGTGTCAGCCAATCACGGTTGCCAACGCATCAATCACTACAAAGGGTAAAACGGTTGTGAAACCAAAAGTGCGAAATTAGTAAAATCCCTACAAAGTACAGTGTTGTCGCCAACGCACAGTGTTGCACATAGCAGCTAAATCAAATTCAAACATACAACAATAGATTTCATTAAACACTTAGTTGCAAATGGTTTAGTATGGGGTTGGGGTAAGTTAATCGGTGATTCTCACGTCACACACATAACGACCGTCTAGAAGTATTACTTGTGACACAAGTACTGCGCACTTTTAGGCTTTGCCACATCAGTTTATCGATAGCGGACGACATTGTAACACGATGATCAATAGTAACAAACGAGAATCATTTGTGGTATGGTGATGGATCGTCATCCATTCTTGCACGCACAGGCCCTGCGCACAAGCCGTGATGCGTTATCGACAGCCATGGTTAGACTGTGCGACGATGCAGCGTCCAGGCCTGCGGGTTGCGCGGCATGGTGACTCCGTTTGCGTACGGTGATGGATCGTCATCCATTCTTGCACGGACATTCAACAAGGTGCTTAGAAGGAGTGGTATGAAGCACAGGCCCTGCGCACAAGCGGTGATGCGTTATCGACAGCCATGGTTAGACTGTGCGACGATGCAGCGTCCAGGCCTGCGGGTTGCGCTGTCAGAATGAACGGACAGGAATGATTGAACTAACAGTGAAATCAGTACAAGTACCTAACCCTAGAATTGTGTACCCCCTATAGGCTAACCCACTGTAGCCTAAACAAATACAACATATATAATGTTTGACACACCCCCATAGGCAAAGTGGGGGAGAGCAAGGGGTCACAAGACCAGTCAAAGCAAAGCAAAACAAGCTCAGGGTGGATCTCAAGGATACCACACAAATTCTGAGCACAAGCAAGTGGTCACAAGACTAGTTCACATGCAGTTTCATAATATAGCAAGAGATACAATGATCACAACCTAGCAAGTGTAAACATGCAGGTATATATATATATATATATATATATATATATATATATATATATATATATATATATATATATATATATATATATATATATATATATATATATATATATATATATATATATATATATATATATATATATATATATATATATATATATATATATATATATATATATATATATATATAAGATCACAGTACAAGCAGAGTCAAGAAGTAAGCAAGTGAGGTCCAGCAGGCACAAGGCCTAGAAGAGTACAGAAACGCTGATGGTCACAAGGCTGAAGCGCCTTGGTGAACACATCAGCAAGGTTGGCCTCAGTGGCCACGTAACGCAGACAAAGCTGACCACGCTGCTGCAGCTCTCGAGCAAGGAAGTACCGCAGGGCGATGTGCTTCGTTCTGTGCTCCAGTCTGTGCTCCTCACACAAGGCAATGGCAGCCTGGTTGTCGACGTACAGCACTGGAGGAGAACGAGGCCGCTCTCCCAAGTCGGTCAGCAGGTAGGTCAGCCAGCGTAGCTCCTGGGCAGCCATGGCTGTGGCGTAGATCTCAGCCTCACAACTGGAGCTGAGAACAGAAGAAGAGCGTGTAGAACGCCAAGAAACTGAGCCGGAGCCAAGGATGAAGGTGTAACCCTGAGACGACCGCTGAGTAGCCTGGTCGTCTGCCCAAGAAGCGTCTGAGTGTCCAGTAAGTACAACTCGGTCTCGCCCTCCAAGCACTAGCCCCATGCCCGACGTACTGCACAAGTAGCGCAACACCCTCTTAGCGGCATCCATGTGCTCCTTCCTGTGACGGCCAGGAGCGACATAGCGCGCAAGGATGCTAAGAGGGTATGCAAGGTCAGGTCGAGTGCAGGTCATCAGGTACATGAGGCAGCCCACAAGCTCTGGATACGGGCCACTTGGCTCTACGGACTCATCCGAAGGCAGAGCTGAGAGCGAGTGACCGGTAGGCAGAGGAGTGGACTGAGGCGAGGAGTACGTGAAGCGGAAGCGCTGAAGGATCTGCTGCACCATGTGTGACTGAGTCAAGGTGATGGTGCGCCGTGCTCTGTCTCGGGTGATCCGCAAGCCAAGATAGCTTGTCAGTTCACCCAGGTCTGTGCACGTGTGTCTCCTCTGCAGCTCCGACTTCACGTGGGCGAGTGCCGCGGTGTCAGCAGTGGCAAAGACCAAGTCGTCGACGTACACGAGGACGTAGAACGGCGGCAGTGAGGTGTCTGTGCGTAGAAACAGTGACGGGTCAGCAGTAGAGGGAGCGAACCCAAGAGCCGCAAGTGTCGTCCTCAGTGTGTCGTGCCACTCACGCGGTGCCTGGCGGAGACCGTAGACCGGCCGCTGAAGCCTCCACTAGGTACCAGGAGGAACCGACCCAGTGAAGCCAGGAGGGCGGCGCAGCCAGATCTCCTCGTGCAGGCTGCCCTGCAAGAAAGCAGTGCTGAAGTCAAGTGAGTGAAGCTCGTAGTCGCGCTGAGTGGCTATGTGCAGCAGCACCCGAAGAGTGGTCATCTTCGGGGTGGGGGAGAAGGTCTGAAAGAAGTCAACTCCCTCTCGCTGACTGAAGCCTCGAGCCACGTAGCGCGCCTTGAAGACAGGAGGAGAACCCGGCGGCCGCTTCACCCTGAAAATCCACATGCCACTGACGATGTTCGCCCCAGGTGGGGGAACCTCGTCGACGTAGGTGCCTGTGGACTTCCAGGAAGCCATCTCTGCGTCCATGGCTGTCTGCCACTGAGAGGAGTAGGGACCCGCCATCGCCTCAGCGTAAGTGCGCGGAGTCGGGATGTCTGGTGCATCCGGGTCTCCCTCAGGGGCAACTAGCATGGACACGAGGTGGGGTAAAGCAGCAGCAAAGCACTGGAACTCCTCCTGTCTGTCCTCAAGGACGTCCGTGCCAAGAGCACACTCACCCCCGACGGACGGAGGACAGACAGACTCAGACTCAGACTCAGCAACAAGGCTAGTGGCGTAGTCTAGACGACACCGGGCAGCAAAGTCGATCAACTCAGCGACCAAGCAGGCGCAGCAGAGGACTCAAAGGTAGGGTCAGTGACAACAGTAGCGAGGAGACGGGTGACAGACGGGTGGCAGTACGACGGGAGTCGGAAGAGTAGGCAGAGAGGACGCAGGAGGAGACGGCAGCGGGACACGCTGAGGAGCAGTGGAGGGACGCAGAGTCATGTAATGAGTGCCAGGGACAGAAGGAGGACGCTCACGTGGGACACGACGACCAGTGCGAGCAGTACGAACAGGCGACGCAGGACGAGACTCAGGCTCACGACGCTCTGTAAGACCTCCTGTGGGACCAGTATAAGGAGAGGGAGCAGGGAGAGGCGAGGCAGGCGGGAACTGGGACTGCGACTGGACAGGCGGAGGACACGCTACGGAGGGAGGAGGACAAGGAGGAGGAGCCTGACCAAGAACCTGCTGAAGAAGTGGTACGAAGTACGGTCGCGGCCGCGCAGCGTCTCCAGAACCAGCAGCGACACCAGCGGCAGGGTCCTCAGCACCAGCAGCAGCTCCACCGTCCAGGTCCTCAGCACCAGCAGCAGCTCGACCGCTCGGGTCCTCAGCACCAGCAGCAGCTCCACCGTCCGGGTCCTCAGCTCCAGCAGTAGCTCCAACGCCCGGGTCCTCAGCACCAGCAGCAGCTCGACCGCTCGGGTCCTCAGCACCAGCAGCAGCTCCACCGTCCGGGTCCTCAGCTCCAGCAGTAGCTCCAACGCCCGGGTCCTCAGCACCAGCAGCAGCGCCACCGCTGGGGTCCGCAGCACCAGGAGCACCACTCCGAAGACTGCAGCGCCGCGCGTACCACTCTCGGATCTGCTGAATGGGGGGGAGCTCCTGGGTAGGAGGGGAAGTACTGGTACGAGCTCCAGTAGCACCTCTCCGGAGGCGGCAGTACTGTAGGTACCTCTCCTGC